TAAAGGGAAGTGCAGCACTAGTTGTTTGAAAGAATATGTAAGAGAAAAATACTGTTTCGAATAAAAAAAGAAACGGATCAAGCTAGATTTAACAACATACGAACAGGGCCGTTGTGCGATCATATGACTATATGTCGAATGTCGTATCAACTTTTATTGAAAGCCAACACTTTTTTTTTTTTTTTGCCTGTTTTTTTTGCTTTGTTGAATGTGTGGAGCCCGTTCGGCTGGCTGGAGGCGCTGGCTGGCTTGTTTCTGAAAAGGAAGTGTAGGTGTGAAAACAGGCCCGTGGTTGAAAGCAGCGGTGAAGCTATGTTCATCCGATGGGGTCATCCGATCCTGACATTTTTGCAGTCGCACTTGTACCAGCGATTTTTTTTTGCCGGCTCAGGGTGTATGGTTCTTTAGTAGTAAAATTTAGTAGTAAAATTCATGTCACGTTGAATGTTTAGATACTAATAAGGAGTATTAAATATAGATTAATTACAAAACTAATTACATAGATGGAGGTTAATTTGCAAGACGATTTTTAAGCCTAATTAATCTGTCATTAGCACATGTTTACTGTAGCTTAAAAGATTCGTCTCGTAAATTAGTCACAAGTTATATAATTAATTTCGTAATTAATCTATATTTAATACTTTATGCATGTGTCTAAATATTCGATATGAGAAATTTTGGAAGGCACTGCATATACCAAACACCCCGACCCAGTAAAAAAATATGTACGACCCTGGCAGGCCGGCAGCCCAGTAGGGGCAGTCTAATTATGCCCTAATTATCTCCTCGGCAGCCCATCTATCAATTCATTCATAGGTCTAGAGTGCCAAACGTTGGCTTGTCTGTTGTCTCCGGCCTCCCATCTGCTGCAACCTGGCCGCGCGACGTAGCTTGTTCGGCTGGCATTAAATTGCACTGCAGCAGCTGAAAACACTGTAGTACTGGAATTTGTTGAGAGAAAACACTGCTTGAAAAAAAAAAGAAGAAGTCTAGCCAGCTAGAAGTGGCCAGCCGAACAAGCTCGAAAGGTCGTGGAAATCCTCCACGGGCGTCCACTACGTAAAAATGGTTTGCAGCAACGGAACAAATTTTTTTACAGGGACGACTGGTGATAGAGCTGTCTCTACAGTGGTGTGCTCGGGAGCCCAAAGACTAACCGCCCCTACAAATGGAACAGCAGGGGCGGCTAGTCATACGAGCCGCCCCTACAAATGGATCGGATTTGTAGGGCCGGCTCACTCACCAGCCACCCCGGTGTTGCTATTTGTAGGGGCGGCTGGTGACTGAGCCGCCCCTACAAATGTCCCGCGTATAAATACCTGCGATTTGTAGGAGCGGCTCAATCACCAGCCGCTCCTACAGATGACCCACATATAAAGCAAACTGCAGCATATTCTTTCTTCTTGGGTCACTCACTCTAACTCGTGAAAGAAAGATGGGGAGGCCTTAGGCACCTACCAAAATTTGTTCTATTAAGGGGGGAAGATTTTGATCTCAAATCCTTTGGTGGAGAGGTTGTAGACAGTAAGAAAATACTATTCCACACTTTTTTTTTGAAGTTTTAATGGTTGGTTAGTGAGTAATTAGATATTTGTTTTTCTCTCTCTTCTATGGTGCTTAAGCTACTTATGAAGTAAATTAGACCCAAGTTTTGAATGAACTAGGATAAATTAGGGAGAGGAACAAGATCATACCCTTATTTGATCAATGTTTCTTGATTTTAGTGAACAATTAGTTAGTTTTATGTATGTTTCATGTGCATATAGATCTAGATCTAGGGTTTGGTTTTTTTTATTAATTTTGATTTTATAAATTTGTGTTTGATGAAATTGGACTAGGGTTTGCATGAAAGATATTGGGTAAAATATAATTGTTGCTAATTGTTGTCTTTGAAATTATTTATTGTAATCAACAAATATGTATTTTAATTATTTATGGATAAATGGGTCATTAATTAATTTTTTTCTACCAGCAAGGAAGGAAAAACTGGCTATAAAAATACTATGTGCGGTAAGTGTAACTTACTTCTTCAGTACTTCATTAAATGACTGTCAAAAGCATTACTTAACATTTTCATATGCAAAACACACAGTGCCCCAAGCAAAAACCTGGGAGTATACATTGTGGATACTATATATGTTCTATGATGAGTAACACCGGTGCCTACAGGAGACACCCTTAAGGGTAAGTTTGAACCTCTTCATCCGTAGTATAAAAACTTCGTACATGGTATGAAATACTAAACCGAAACTTGTTCTCTTATAGTGGAAAGAAGAGAAAGAAATGAAAATTGACCCATACAAGGATGACCAACTCTTAGAGCTCATCGACGACTTTTTGTAACTTTATATTGGACCAGATTGTACACGTCAAAGACGCCTACCATGACCGAGAGTCTGACTTAGGTACAAATCCTCAGTACTAACACATTCGTGAGACTGAAAGGCTAGCTCTAAAACGTTTATAACAATGTGTATGGAATTTGACATTGATTTTATATTATACATTATGTTTATTTAATGATGGATTGTATATATTCTTGTGAATTGGACTTGTAATTGTAGTTTATATAATACTCTTGTGCTTGTAGTCTAAGGGGTTCGGAACGTTGGTCATGGGGCGTTCGGCAACGCAAACGCGGTTCGGAACGTTGGTCGCGGGGCGTTCGGCAACGCGAACGCTAGATGGAATACGCGGAAACAAATAGTGTTCTGGTCGAATTTGAATTATAAATTTGATTTTTTTTTACAGAAAAAAAATACTGTAGGGGCAGTTCTAAACTGAACCGCACCTATAAATCGATTTGTACGGACGACCTGAGAACCGCCCCTACAAATACATGATTTGTAGAGACGGTTTGGTAGGGGCGGCTGACCAAACCGCCCCTATAAAGAATTACGAGCCGCCCCTAAAAAAAAAGTTTCTACAGTAGTGCGCCGAGGGCAGAAGCGGTTGGGCGGCAGCCTGGCCCCTCGCCGCAGCTCCGTAGACGACGCAAATTCCAGCGGCCGCCGGCAATAAGCTCTGTGGCACCCGTGAAGTAGTCAAGGTGCTCACTGCTCATCGGTTGGACGAGGTATGCAATCAGGATCAACGACTGAGCAAGTTTGAACTGAGGTATTAGGGTAATAGCCTAATAGGGTTTTAATTTTTTCAGCTATACAATTCAATCTCAGAAAGCAGATAGCCAGATAGTACATTTTGTTCCTTGCGTTCCATTGTTCCAGCAAACAACGTGCTCTTTCATTCAGTGATTTTAGTAGGATTTTTTAAAAGGAAATCTATGCTACTTTAATAGGATTTTTTAAAAGAAAATTACCACCAGCCGGTGATAATGAGAATAATAATGGAAAGTGGAGACACTTCAAGAGCAAGAAGAGACGGAGATGTCACTGCACCAAACACTAATTATACTATTCAGCGCAAACACTAATTGTACTATTCAGCGCACTTCACAGATCTCGCGAGAGGAGGTGATTTTGATGAGCTTCCATACGATCCAGCAGATAGAAGGGGATATCATATTACATAGGCGAAAAGTTGCAAAATGAAATAAGGCGAAAATGTTTGATTAGAGGTCCTTGTAAGCCACTTAGAAATCATATCAGAGATGGATTTATGAACAATTGTATCTTAGCCTCGTAGAACAAGGATTTCTGGCCACAATTCCAATCAACGATGTGATGGCTCGCTTTCATAATATGGAGGATCATAGTCATCAAGCTAACTACTGTTGTGATTTGTAAAAGCTTATTTTGTCACAATATGCAGTTATTATCATATTAATTTGATGTTAAGTATGGTATTATATTATGTCAACCTATATGTTAATACTTAGTTAGTATTGAGTACCGACCTCGGCGGCCATTTATCCTGGCTTCACCCCTGGTTGAAAGAATAGTGGTTCTGCGATTATATGCCTATATGTCACATCAAGTTTTATTCAAAGCCAATATTGTTGTATGCTTGTGTTGGTAAAGGCCTCAGGGCCATTCCGTGATTTTGATCCCATATCAAATTTAATATTTCTTTCCAAATTTGTCTATTAAGTAAGATAATATAATGTCAGTATATAAATAACATATTGCTCAAAAACATATCTTTTTTATACCAAACATGTCTTTAAAATAGCATTTAATTTTTATTTCAGAAGAATTATTCATCAATTAATTGTTAAATGTTTTCAAGACCATTCTTTAATAATATTGTCAACAATTTTAGAATCCATTGCATCCTAATAAGCTAGAACAACTGCAACTATATCAATTTGAAAAATATTGAAATCTATTTTATTATTATTTCATTAGGTGATTAAAGTTGACTCTTGTGTATTATTTATTGCTTTTGATGAAGACACTGATGGAAATAACGTAGCTTAAAACAAACTCAATTCACAAACTCAGCCAGCATGTGATTGCATTGAAAAGAAAGAGTTGAGTGCTCAAATACGAAAAAACTTGGGTCATTTGGGAGAGCTAGAATAGTACTAGTATATTCAAATGAGCTATGCGCCCTATGCTCACAAAATGAGGTGGGAGTCGATGAAGAAACTTGTTTTGGCCTCATTAGTTAAGGCTTCTCTGTCAATTCATTTAGACTAATAACTAGTCGCTGAACTTTTGTTACCCCGTCCAAATACGAAGTCGATCAAACTTTGATCCAGTTTCTAACTAACAAATAGTCCATTAGTTAACTATAAAGTATAAACCTACCTACCATCAAATTAAACTTTAGATGAATAATTTTAGTTTGAAGTTTGAACTGCTTTTTATCGGAAGTTTGAACTGTTTTATTAGTAGGAAAAAAAGGGTCCTGGCTCCTGAATCGGTCCACGGTGCTATTCGGGCAGTTTTCGACACCGAGCCCACCGCTCCTGGGCCTGGCCGCGCCGTACCCGTACGGCGTACGGAGTACGGTACGTGTCGAACCGAACTGAGCCCCAAATCCGGAAATCCCAATTCGCAGGCGGCGGCCGGTTTCCCCCTAACCGCCCCGTCGCGATGGCGGCGGCGGCGTCGGTGTCGGTGGCCGACCCCCGCCTCGTGCGCAATACTTGCATCCTAGCACACGTGGACCACGGCAAGACCTCCCTCGCGGACCATCTAGTGGCCTCCGGCGGCAGCGGCCTCCTCCACCCGAAGCTGGCGGGAAGCGCCCGGTTCATGGACCACCTCCCGGAGGAGCAGCGGCGCGCCATCACCATGAAGTCCTCCTCCGTCGCGCTCCGGCACCGCGTGAACCTGATCGACTCTCCGGGCCACGCCGACTTCTGCTCCGAGGTCTCCGCCGCCGCGCGCCTCTCGGACTCGGCGCTCATCGTCGTCGACGCGGCCAAGGGCGTCCGCGTCCAGACCCACGCCGCGCTTCGCCAGGCGTTCGTCGAGCGCCTGCGGCCCTGCCTCGTCCTCAACAAGATCGACCGCCTCATCACGGACCTCCTCCTCTCGCCCGAGGACGCTTATTACGCGCGCCTCCGCGGCATCGTCGCCGAGGCTAACTCCATCTACTCCACGCTGCGCTCCGGCTACTACTCCTCGCTCCAGGACGACAAAGACGACCTGCGCGCGGGCGGCGGCGAGGAGGACGATGACGAGGGCGACGCCTTCCATCCCCATAAGGGCAACGTCGTCTTCGCCTGAGCCCGCGACGGCTGGGGCTTCCGCATCCACCGCTTTGCCGACCTGTAAGCCCAGAAGACGGGCGCTAGCAGGTCCAAGCTGCTCATGGGCTTCTGGGGACCGTACCACATAGACAAGAAGAAGAAGGCGGTTCTGCCTCTGCCTTCGAGTAAGGAGGCCACGGGCAGCGGCGAGAGTCAGCAGCCCATGTTCGTGGAGTACGTGCTCAGGCCTCTGTGGAAGGTGTACCAGAGAGGCATGAGACCAAATAGCGCCAAGTGGATGGACGACAATGCGGTTTCCTTCTTCAAGCTGGTGGTGTCGCCGCGGGAGCTGAACAGCGAAAACCCCAAGGTGTCGTTGCATGCCGTGATGCGGGCGTGGCTGCCGCTCGCGGACTCGGTCATGGAGATGCTCGTCGAGTGCACGCCCGACCCCGTCGCCGCCCAGGCGTTCAGAGTGGCAAGGTTTATGCCCGAGATGAGGACTGCTGCCGCCAACCACACCTGCAGCATTGTTGCTGAGGCTGAGTTGGTGAGGAGCTGTGTGGCGGCCTGCAGCGCCAGCGCAAGCGCGCCCATTGTGGTGTTCGTGTCCAAGATGTTTGCGTTGCCGTACACGATGCTGCCGTCCAAGGGGCTTAAAGGGGAGGAGCTGCTGATCCATAGCGAGTCGGAGCCAGAGGGGGAGTGCTTCTTGGCCTTCGCGAGGGTCTTCAGCGGGGTACTCCGTGCAGGGAAGAAGGTGTTCGTCCTGTCTCCGCTATATGATCCGGTAAAAGGGGACGACGCGGCGGGCAAGCATGTGCAGGAGGTGGAGCTGCACGGCCTGTACGAGATGCTCGGGCAGGACCTGAGGCCAGTACCCAGCGTTGCTGCGGGCCACGTCGTCGCGATCCAGGGCCTTGGCCAGCACGTGCTGAAGAGTGCAACACTGTCGTCGACCAAGAATTGCTGGCCATTCTCGAGCATGACGTTCCAGGTGTCTCCGATGCTCAAGGTCGCCGTTGAGCCCTCCAACCCTGTTGATCTGGGAGCCCTTGTAAAAGGACTGAAGCTTCTTCACCAGGCAGACCCGTTGGTTGTGTACACGGTCTCGCAGAGGGGCGAGCATGTCCTTGCTGCAGCTGGCCAGGTACATTTGGATCGCTGCATCAAGGATTTGCAGGAGAGGTTCGCCAAGGTCCAGCTGGGGGTCTCAGAGCCGTTAGTGTCATTCAAGGAGACCATCCAAGGAGAAGCTGTTGGCTTACTGGGAAGCATGAAGGTAAGAAGGTTCAACTGAGGTTTGTTGAGAGAACCACTCCGAATGGGAGATTCAATGTGAGAGTTCAAGTCATTAGGCTTCCCAATGCGCTGACTAAGGTTCTTGCCGAAAATGAAGAATTACTTGGTCAAATCATCGATGGGGAGAGTTGACACTTGGCTCAGGATGGTGGTCATTCTATTTCTACAGCTACAACCATGCTTAGGCAACGCTTGATCTGTGCCATTGACACTGAATTGGAAGCGATCTCTGGACAAGTGGAAGGTAGAAGCTTGAGAGGTATAGGAAGACATTGTTTGGATACCTTCAGAGAATCTGGGCCCTAGGTCCTTCACATGTTGGACCAAATTTCCTTCTCTTGCCTGACTTTGAATCAAAATGTGGTGTCACAGCAAGCCCAAATGGAAAGGAAAGTATTCGACTCCGGGTCTTTCCTCCCCCGCGAGCGGCTCGGGCGGCTCCCCGCCCCCCCCCAAACCCTAGCAGCCCCTCCCCTCCCCTCCCCCCGCCGCGCCGCTGCCGGAGCTGGCCGCCGGCATGGCCGCCCGGCCGGCAGGGATGGCGGCGGCGGGGTCTTTCTCCTCTCTCTCGGCGGCGCGTGCGGCAGCAGGCCGACGGCCCCTCCCCTCGCGTGAGCTGCGTGGAGCTCAGCGGGGAGGGCCGTCGCGGCTATGGCGGCGCCGGCTAGTGCCCGAGCTGGCGCAGGGGACGGCGGCGGGCTTTCCTTCTCCTCCGCGCGTTCCCCTCCTCCTGTCTTGACGGTGACGGCGGCGACAGCTGGGGCCACCGGTCCGGGCCACGTGAGGTCAGATCCGATGCTCGGGAGGCCGGATCTGGACTCCAGGTGGCCAGTTCGGCTTCGGGGCCGGCGGCGGGTGGTGCCTGCGGTCGAGGTCAAGACGGAGGCGGTGGCGGCATGGGGCGCCGGGTTCGGGGCCTGCTGTCCGGATCCGGCGGTCCCAGGGCAGGGGGCGGCGCCCGAGATGGTGGGGCACACGCCCTGTTGCGGCTGGCGGCGAGGTCGGCTGCGACATCGGCGGGTGCCTGGGGCGACGAAGATGGTCAGTGGTGGCCTCGTCGTGCGGCACTGGGATGCGAGCGGCGGAGCCAGGTCCGGCTAGGCGTGGCCCGGACGGAGGGGGTGACGGGCGACGCAGCTGTGCGACTGCTGCGTGCAGCCGGCACGTCGATGCCCCTCTGAATGGGCTTCCGTGGGGCGGCGGGACGGCGACGATAGCGGTGTTGGCTGGCAGGGGGTCTGGCTTCGCGACCCAGCGTTCGTGCTAGAGGGTTCTTGGGCGAAAGCCTTGGCGACGGCGACGCCATTGGGCGCCGCTTCCTGTTGGGGGCGTCGTGTTCCCCTCTAGCATGTCATCCAAGGGTGAAAACCCAGTCCACTTTGAACGTGCGACGGTGGCGCCATCGGCGTCGCTCCCTTCCTGAAGGCGTCGCATCTGGATTATCGCTGCGGCCTCTATGCGAGGCATGGGTTTGCGACTAGAAGTCGGAGCTGCTCTTCGTGGGTTGAGCTTGGCAACGATGACCGGTGGCGGTCGTTCCTTTGGACCCGTCGGAAGGTGACCAGTGGGTGGTCTGCCATGGGAAGTCCAAGCTGCTGGCAGCTTTGCTTCTATGCTCGGCAACGACGATCCATGGCAGTGTGTCGTGTTTGTACTCAATCGCGTCGCGTGGGGTGGTTAGCCCCTCGGATGCCATTTTGGTTACTCGGTTGGCTAACCTTCTTGTACATTATTACTTTCTTTCGTCTTAATTGAGCAGCAGAGCTCCTGTCTTTTGTTTCAAAAAAAAAAAGAAAAGAAAGGAAGGTATTCTTGTGAGTGGTAGGTGCCATGAATCAGAGAGATTGGGGTTTCCGCGTGCACCTGATGCAGAAGCTAAAAATGTCACTGAAACTGAAACAGAGACATCGACATATTCTCTCGATTCTGAAGCGCTAAGGAACAGCATCGTCTCAGGTTTTCAGTTTGCCACAAATGCAGGTCCCATATGCGATGAACCTATGAGGGGTGTGGCATTCATCGTTGAGCCCTACCTTCTGTCCAGCAACTCTGATGTTGTAATTCGCTCCGATGACAACATCTTCACTGGGCAAGTAATTACTGCAGTGAAGGAAGCATGCCGAGAAGCTGTTCTTCAAAGCATGCCAAGGCTCGTGGAACCAATGTACTTTTGTGAATTGACCACACCGATGGAGCAGTTAGGTGCAGCCTTTGCTGTTCTGGGTGATTGTCGGGCCAAGGTTCTGAAAGAAGAGATGCAAGAAGGAACATCTTTGTTCACAGTGCAAGCTCACTTGCCAGTTGCCGAAAGCTCTGATTTCTCTGAGAAACTTAGGAAGCGAACGTCAGGTGCAGCTAGTGCGGTTCTAGCATTTAGCCACTGGGAAGTTATCCCTCAGGACCCCTTCTTTACCCCGAAAACTCCGGAGGAGATTGAAGAATTCGATGATGGCTCAAGCATTGGACCAAACCTGGCCAAGAAGCTCATGAATTCTGTGAGGCGAAGAAAGGGCCTTCATGTTGAAGAGAAAGTTGTGGAGCATGACACGAAACAGCGAACTCTTGCGAAGAAAGTGTGATTTTATTCATGAGATATAGGAAATTGGTGCCTTGGGCTCCCTATTTTTCCCCGGTAAACTGAAATATAACCAAATATGCAAATTATAGGGATTTAAAGTTCTGGTGTAGGAGTTCTAGTGAAGCAAAGGATCAATATGAACTTTTTAGTATTATATACACTTTATTCTGATGAAGACGAAAACAAGATGGTACATTTATCAACGATAATAAGTTTCTCGTCCCAGATGCGGATGTTGACTCTTTCTCTGACATTTCCTATGTATTTTAAATTTTAATTTATGGGAACTGCTGATAAAATTTTCAAAAAAACTTACCGGCCATTTTGGATAAATCAACCTGAAAATCACGTCAGCTTCACTTGACCTGAACAAATTAGTTATTTTGGATCTGTTGTTTAGTAGTAATATGTTTGTTCTACCATAGGGCGCAATCAATTACATTGTGCCAACTACTAAACACTTGTTATTACTCCTCTGATAAATTCAGTCATTCAGGCAGGTAACTTCACATAATCTCAAGTTTATGACAGTTCTATTGCGCGTGGTCCTTCCAATTGTGGAACAATGAAAAGCCTAAGTCTCTGTTTTTTTTTTTTTGAAATGAACCGGCAGGAAAGCTGCCCGCTATATTAACCAATGAGTCTTCCAATTGAGGAACAATGAGATTTGTGAGTGGGGAATGAGAAATTATTGAAGACATACTAACTGGAGTGATTGGTTCTCTTCGATTCATGAAAAAGATGGTGCATGGCTTCATAGTCCATACACACCGCGTCAATGGGAGATATGGCTTCCGGCTAGCGACGAGAGATAGTTTATCTAGCATATATGGAAGGCCATGAATGATCTTAGATTCAACAAAAAGTCATGGACTGTCGCAGGTCCTCCACGCTACGCATGCAGAACTACAAGGTATATGTCTTACTTCTGCTGCAGGTGAAACAGGAACACATACAACATTGAAGGCAAATCAAACAAGGGGGACAAACTCTAGAGAAGCACTACTACATACTCTGATGCCTGCATCTACACATACACAACAGGCCTACAACTTGCTACTGAGACTCCAAAGTACGAACAATTTCTTTGCAGGAGATCAGCTGCAACAGGGCAGTGCACCAAATTATTTGGTGTCCATCCCTGCAAGGTTACCTGGATCTCGTTGTTTCTCTGATGCATCTCTACGCCCAGATCAGACTACTGCAACAGAGAGAACAGCAGGGATTGGAATTCTACTTACCATTACAGGAATTTCTCCAACTCATTTCATCTACATACAGGCCAAAATATCACAGGTTACTTCAGTGCTGATGGCAGAGGCTGCGGGTTTAGCTTTGGGAGCAGAACTTGTGAAACGACTCCTACTCAAAAGCATGTCATATCTCTCAGATAGTCAACTGCTAGTGCACTTCTTCCACTCTGAGAACCACTCTTCTCCACCAGACTGGAGAATCAAGCCTTTGACATGCTCCTTTATTAACTTCAATAGAAATATTGATCACAAAGTGTATAAGATTAATAGGTCTTAGAACTCCACAGCCCACATTCTTGCTCATCAAGCATCAAAGGCTTTAGCACAGTCTCAGTTTTTTTTTCACTTGTACTCACTTTGCCCACCTCTATCAGTGTCCCATTACGGAAGCACTCATCAATGTAAATTGGCAGCCGTTTAGGCTCCTCTCTGTAAGATGTTGTTAAAGCAATGAAGTTTATTATTATCAACAAAAACGTAGAAGCACCCTGCCTTTAGCATTGGCGACCGCCTGCCTTCCAATTTTCCCGGGCTTGGGAGCTAGCTAATGTGTTGGGCCAAATTGTTAAGTGAAGGTGCAAGGAAAAAAAGTTCATTTGACCTTCCAACTTTCGCCAAAGTCCAGCTAGTTTCCCCAAACAGAAAATTAGTATTTTGGGCTTCTCAATCTTTCGAAACCGTCGGTTTTGTGTGACATGGTGTCATGAAAACTGCGTAGGGATGTTAATGGGCCTTGATTCCCCATAGGAAATTCCTCTATTAGGAGATAGAGACAGGGCAAATCCCCCACCCCCAACGAGAATTTAAACGAAGGAAAAGACATTCCTAACGGTGTTGGTGGGGAATGGACGGTTCTCTCCCCCCCTGTCCTCGTCCCATTTTTCATATGCATGTATGTCACTAAAAATTGTGATGTAATTGTTAAGTAGTGTGTAGTTTTTTTTATGTATTTTTGCTAGCGTATTAACGATGGACTATAAGTGTACATTGCAGTCCATCAATGATACATTTGTACTAGAAATTATTACTTGCTTTTGTGTTAAATTTGAATTGCTATCTATATTCCGAGATGTATCGAGGTGGGGATAGACGGATGAGGATTCACGTGGAGATTATTCCCCTACGGGACAGGGACGGGAGCCAAATTCTCCCCCGCAAGCTTCACAGAGACGGGAACAGGGATTTTTCCTTCCCATGAGGATGGTGATGGGGAGCCATTCCCCAATAGGGAATTTCCAGTTGCAACTCTAGCCATGAGGAAGGAAAATCAGGCTATGTCGAAAATCCGAGGAGGTCAAGTAGACTTTATAAAAAGATTATAGAAATATTTTTTTATAAAATTGTCCAAATGTTTCTTTTTGAAAAGTAAATATAATTAAAAATCCTATATCCAATTTAATCTTAGAAACATTATATAAATTTTGTTTTAGCTTAAAAATATGAAACCGCTGTCAGATTTTTTTCAAAAATCATTTTGAACTGATGTTGTGAATTATTTGAATCTTAGATGGGCAGATGAACCTTTTTTCCGAAATTCTATCCAGTGAAACTGACAGCCCATGAGCCAGGACTGCACCGCAAGGCTTGAAGGCCCATTTCGCCCTTTGTTTAGTTTCACCAACTTTGCACCTTCAAAGTTTGCACAGTGTAAGATTCTTTATTACATCACATCACATCAGATCTTTGGACACATACATGGAGTATTAAATGTAGGTAAAAAAAATAACTAATTACACAGTTTTGTTGTACTTTGTGAGACGAACGTTTTAAGTCTAATTAGTCAACGGTTGGACAATTATTACCAAATACAAACGGATGCTGCCGCCAACTTCGAGTGCGTTGTGTTTGCGTTCATCAACCGCGTCCTCGACTGTTGCGTTCTCGCCTCGAATCACGCGCATCCTTTCCTTTCTCCCCTGAACGGGCCTAAACACGCCCTTCTCCGCCACTTCCCCGTTGTTCATCAACCCGTCCTCGACTGTTGCGTTCACCCGAATCACGCGGCTACTCGACCCCTCTCACTTGGCGGTCTTCGCCAGGTCTTCATCGGCTCTTTCGCCGGATACAAGCATCCGCCAGGTATGCCAGCCACTTCCCTTCCCTTCCCTTCCTGCTGTGCGAAATCGAGCACCCCAAACCCTAATGCAGGCTATTTATATTCGGATCTGACCCAAAGCTGCTGGTTTTTCATATGAACAGAGAACGCAAGGGATGTTCGATTGTCTCTAGTTACTTAGCAGAGCCAAAAGAGGAAGGCCATCAAAGATACGAGGGCTTGTTCTCGCCATGTCTCGGTCACCCCACCTCCCACCCCGCTGCCCACCTCTGGGTCCTCAGATCACTCGAAGGGATGACAGCATGTTCACGCAGAGCTGCAGGTTTCCATCTGGGGATCCGTTCTTTGGTGAACCGCCGTGCTGGCTGGATGATCTCCTTGCAGATTCTGGGAAAGCTCCCAAGCTTCCTCCTCTCAGAAGGGCCTGTAGCGATTCTGATGCCATCTTGGATGCGCTGTCGACATTCCAAAGCCCAATTTATCCAATTGAGGAAGGTGATCTAAACTCAGGTGGTGAAGCTGAGGACTTGTTGGATGCTGGCGAAGGTGGTGAAAGCGGTTCTGTGGTCGAGGCTAGCTGTGTTTATGGTCCGAATTCGCCAAGACAGAAGAGTAGGCTGACATCTTCAGAGAGTTCCATGGTCAATGCTGTGCTTGAGAATGTCCCCAGCAACCCCTTGCAGTACCTGACCATCGATGCCTCCAGTGGTGTGAATGGTAATGTGGCCAGTGGAACTGCTGATGCCTGTGATGCTTTTGGCCATCCTGATCAAGACAAGTCATTTAAAAGGTACACTTGTGTTTGTGAGTGAAATATCTAAAGTACTTTCTTCAAATGTTCTCTTTCAGAAGGTAGCGGTTTCTGCCAATCAATAGCATTGTTGCTTTTACTAAACTGGAATTTGTAGTGAAAATGCTAGAAATGTATAAATTATATCAAATGCAGATGCCAACTGAAAAGGAACATGACACTGCTGCTCTGCAGAAATTAAATTAACTGATGGTGCTTCTAATTGTGTGACACTGATAGTTTTGACTTATGTCACCAGCAGTAGCAATGCCAGGTAGAATTTATTGTCATATGATCTCGGCAGCATAAGTAGTTCAAACCATGTGGGCATGTGTTGTCTTCAAAAGTTCGTAAATCCTCATTGCTTGAATATTGTAAAAGCAACAATTTCCTTTAGTTTTATAATACTATTCCTGAGATTGTCCAACAGTTAGTCTATGTTATGTGTCAATCAGAATTCTTATTTTTCCAAGATGCGTACATTACAAAGTCTGTACAATTAAAAGGGAGCCTGAACATCATTATACTAGAAAGATATTTACTACTCCCTCCACTCCAAATTGTAAGCCGTTCTGGCTTTTCTATATACATACCTTTTGCTACGCACCTAAATATACATTTTGTCTAGATACAAAGTAAAAGATATGTATCTACAAAATCCAGAACGACTTACAATTTGGAATGGAGGGAGTATTTTTTTTCTTCTCAAACTACGCAGGATAGCTGCATGTCATGTCATTAAGAGAGGAAAAGGAATACAAGAGCAACGCGAGAACAGCCCCACCCAAACCCACACCACACAAACCATGTTAGCTACAAAGGACACGCCATTGAAAATAGGACACGGCCAACCCAACCAGAAACTAAGGTTCTGTGTCATTCGACCTTAGGAGCAGGTCCTG